TTTAGTTTTTTGGATATTTTTTATGACAGAAATGAAAAAATATTGTTTTTTTTTTTCAAAAAACTTTTTTTTTTTTCTCAAAATTGTTTTCTTGTTTGTAGCACCAAAAATAAAAAGCACACAGGTGATCAAATACCACCAAAAGAAAGCTCTATTTGTGTGAAAAAAGACATAATTTTCATTTATGTATCGTATTGCATGACCGCGCAATTGTTGGTTAAACTAGTGCAGTGCTGTATAGCAAAAAATGGCGGAAATTGCAGTATCTATACCATAGTTTGTAGACGCTATAAAGTGCACACAAAGCAATCAATATACACTTATTGGGATTTTTTTTACCAAAAACATGTAGCAGAATACATTTTGGCCTAAATTTATAACTATAACTTTGAGTTTACTATATATTTTTTATAGCCGAAAGTAAAATATATCGTTTTTCTTCAAAATGTTCGGTCTTTTTTTGTTTATACCTTGAAAAATAAAAGCACACAGGTGATCAAATACCACCAAAAGAAATCTCTGTGTGAAAAAAGGACATAAATTTTGTTTGGGTACAGCATTGCATGACCGTGCAATTATCAGTTGAATTAGTGCAGACCCGAGTAGCAAAAAGAGGCCTGGTCATTAAAGGGGGTAAATCCGCTAGAGGGCAAGTGGTTAAACCAACTTAAATCAATAATAATCATATAACAAATAAATCAACCCGTATGTGCGATGGTGACAAAATAAATAAAAAATATTATAAAATTATATATGAATTTCAAAAAATACAATAAACGTGCTTCAAAAAAAGTCTGATATCTTTTAATTCAAATAATACGATGTGAAGAAAACCAACACCAATGTGCAACAATCCTTCACCAATAGAAATAAATAAAATAGACTCACCAGAGCAAGTTGCTAGTAATATTATAAACTAGCAAATTGCGCATTTTCTCTGGGAGCAATCATCTGCAGATTGGTAACCACGGTAAAAAGACTCTCCAATATTATCTGTCTCTTCATATAGTATATTGGCTCAAACTCGCCGCAACTGCACCGCAAACGCCTGTCAGGCATTTGAGGAGTGGCACCATAGACTTGACATGAGGAGCCAGTTTTGCCATGACGCGACGCTAACGCTTCAGTGTAAACAGCATTGTGTGCTGCCATGTGCAGAATCTTCATAGGCGTTTGAGAAGCATTAAAAACGCTTCCCAAACACCTGTCTGATGCCTGCTGACAAAGCTAGTGTGAACTTAGCCTAAGAGAAGAGAAACAAAGTTGCAATGAAATATAAACAGAAGGAAAATTGAAAGTTTCAAACTTGTTAGAAGAACAGGATGCAGGTAAGATTCACTCCCTTTCCACTTTCTAGTCAGTAGCCAAAATCTTAATTGATTGATCAATATTCCTGGCACTGACAGAACCCTGGAAATTGATCTCCATATTTTGTCCATTCACAATAGTCTGTAATGTCAAGGAGCTTACATTCTAAGGCCAGAAACTCAGACATGTACTAGGCCCAATTAACCCAACAGCATGTCTTTGGAGTGTTGGCAGAAACACACACATGCAAAGAAAGCATAAAAACTCCAGATAGGTGCAGCCATGACTGGGATTAGAACCCATGACTGAAGTGCTGTAAGTTCTGAGTTCTAACCACTAAGCCACTGTAGGAGACAGAGTTTGAGCTGGAATGTAGAATAGTTACATGATTAAAGAAAATGAAGATATATAATTGTATTGGGAAACTAGAACTAGACATTCAAATTATTTGAGATATAAGTGTTAATATGTTTGACATTTGAAAATAGAATGTATGACATTCATTAGGAAATGCATTAGTTGGCTGATCATTTTTGAAGAAACAGCAACAAAAAAAATAAAAAAAAAAAAATATATAATATAGGTGTGCTTTTTATTTTAAATTATAAGTATTCTCATATGCAAACAGATAAATGCCAACGGGACAAAGCCCGTGGTTGTGCACCACTTAGCGAACATATCCGGCATTGCATCTAGAAATGTGCCCAGCGTCATTTCGTATTTACAAACAGGAAAGAGTCTAGAAAGTAGACTCTTTTTAATCAGCTTGCTGGGTGCCTTTCTGAAGACTGACAGGTCTTGGTTGATTGAATTGAGTCTGCCTAATGTTCAGTGTCTGCTGATAGACTCAGTTCTTAGTAAATCAGGACCAAAGTGTCAGAAAACGCTTGATCTTCAGGTGGTTAGAAGAGTGAGTAATGTGTGGCATAAACTTCTAATGCTGGGCATAAAATGCCCCCACCCCCCAAAATGACCCCTTTTTGGAAAGTAGACACCCCAAACTATTTGCTGAGAGGAATGTTGAATCAATAGAAGAATTTATTTTTTTACCACAAGTTTTTGGAAAGTGACAAACAAAAATTTTTTTTTACACAAAATTGTCAATTAAATGATTTATTGCTCACACATGCCATGGGTATATGTGGAATTACTCCCCAAAATACATTCTGCTACTTCTCCCGAGTATGGGGGTACCACATGTGAGAGACGTTTTGGCAGTTTAGCCAAGTACAGGACCCCAAAATCCAATAAGAACCTTCAGGCTTTTAAAGGGCTTTATTTCCTCATTATACTTCCTGACTACCTATCACTGTTTCGGAGGCCCTGAAATGCCAGGATAGCACCAACCCCCCCCCCCCCCCCCCCCCAAATGACCCCTTTTTGGAAACTGTGATAGGTAGTGAGGAAGTGAAATGAGGAAGTTACGCACCTTCAGGCTTTCAAAGTGGTCATTGGATTCAGGCTCCTGTATGTGGCTAGGCTCCCAAAAAGTCTCACAAATGTGGTATCCACATACTCGGTTAGAAGTAACAGAATGTATTTTGGGGTATAATTCCACATATACCCATGACTTGTATGAGAAATATATCATTTAAATGACAACTTTGTGTACAAAAAAAATGTTTTTGTCGTTTTCCAGAAACTTGTGGAAAAAAAATAAATCTTCCATGGACTCAATATGCCTCTCAGCAGATAGCTTAGGATGTCTACTTTCCAAAAAGGGGTAATTTGGGGGGTGTTTGTACTATCCTGGTAGTTTAGCACCTCAAGAAATGTGATGGGCAGTCAGAAAGTAAAAGCTGTGTAAATTCCATTATCTATACCACAGATTGCAGATGCTATAACTTTCACACAAAGCAATCAATATACACTTATTGGGATTTTTTTTACCAAAAACATGTAGCAGAATACATTTTGGCCTAAATCTATAACTGACTTTGAGTTTACTATATATTTTTTATAGCCGAAAGTAAATAATATTGTTTTTCTTCAAAATTTTAGGTTTTTTTTTTGTTTATAGCGCAAAAAATAAAAAGCGCACATGTGACCAAATACCACCAAAAGAAAGTTCTATTTGTGTGAAAAAAAGGATGTTAATTTCGTTTGGGTACAGCATTGCATGACCACGCAGTTATCAGTTGAATTAGTGCAGCACCAAGTAGTGAAAAGAGGCTTGGTTATTAAGGGGGGTAAATCCTCTGGAGGGCAAGTGGTTAAATTAAATCATCATTTAAAAACTGCATTTTGTATTTAAGTAAAATCACAAAATGAGCGCAAGGTAAAAAATCAATCAGACAGCTGGCATAAAAGGCGAACCTCTCAAACCTCATAATCAATAAAACACAGCAATATGTAGCGCTAAGGTGTAAAGTGCATGACAAACAAAATAAACACATGTGAGACGTTAAGGAGTGCCAAATGACACAATAAAGTGGGTAGACGTCCCAATATGTGCTCAAATGAAATAAATTATAATAAAGTCCAAAAGCAGCAAAAACGCCTTAAGGTGCAAAATCCGTGATTCTTGGGATAATACAATGGATAATACAATGGATGTATATTGCACTAACCAGAAAGCGAAATAAAATGCGCATTTGAGTAATTCCAACCACTCCTGGTCAACAGCAGGAATCTGGGGGTCATCTGGCAAACCTCAGCATATCAGACAACTCACAGCAAACATCTCCAGGCTCCAGGGATATGACATCCATCCAGCAGGGGGGGAAACACTCACATAGGTGCAGTAAATACCAGGAACTTAACCTTGAAGCTCATGAAAAAGCGAGCCAGAGAAAGTGCTTCCAATAGTGCAGTATTTTTATTAGTAAGGATCAAAGGCATAAAATAAACGTATGCACTCACATCTGGCAATTGAACTGAATCCAAGATGGCCGCCGTCCTTCCACGGGGAGCGTGCGGCGTGACGTCACCAATGTAGATCACCTCCCTAAAGAACAGAGGCCTGGTTATTAAGGGGGGTAAATCCTCTGGAGGTCAAGTGGTTAAATTAAATCATCCTTTAAAAACTGCATTTTTGTATTTACTTGGGTTTTTGCTGTGTAATAAAATTTGTTTGCTGATCCAAATCATTTAAGTGTGACAAATATGCAAAAAAAAAATCAAGAAGGGGGCAAATACTTTTTCACAGCACTGTATGTGACATATGTCGTAACATGCATTTCATGCAAAGTTTAATATGTGGATAGAACCACTGTGAAAGGATGCAAGGCCACTTCTCGAACATCAACACTACCAAAGATACAAATTTAGCCAGATAATCACAGAATTCCAATTTACAGTCTCTTAAGGTGCAAATTATTAAAGAGAGTGACTCAACCTATCAGAGGTGGTCATTTGTAGGAGAGAAGTATTTTGGATATTCAAACTAGATACTCGGATCTCTAAGGGTCACAATTGCGAATGGGATATTTCCCCCTATGAATGATTTTGGTCATCCTCTCCCCTCTCCCCTCTCAAACCCCCTACCCTTTTACCCTTCCTCTCTTTTAAGGTTTTTAACCACTTCCCGACCGGCCGTTGCATATAAACGGCCGGACGGTGGCAGTACAGGGTCGGGTGGCTGTTTATGAATGGCCTCCCCGCACCCTGCTTGTGCGTGCTCCCTGGGAGCGCGCAGCACCGCGATCCGGGGCCCGCTGTGTCCTCCGGACACAGTGAAACACCGATCGTCGGACGGGACCTCTGTACGAGGTCCCGATCATGTGATCACTGATTGGCCAATCAGTGATCACATGCAAAGTAGTAAGCAAGATGTCACTTGTGACATCATTGCTTACTACGTGTGAAATCTGTGAATGATCACAGAGGTCACATGGTACAAGGCTATTCACAACAGCCTTGTACCATGTGAAATGCTGTGACCAATCACAGCTCACTCAGTACTTTATTATTATTATTATTATTATACAGTATTTATAAAGCGCCAATAGTTCACTCAGCGCTGTACATTACAAAGGAAGAGAGAACATGTGACAGAACAATACCAATACAATGCAAGACATGAGGGGATCGAGGGCCCTGCTCTTTCGAGCTTACAATCTAGGAGGGAGGGGATAGTGGTACAGGAGGAGATAGCTGTGGGGGATGGAGTGGTAGGAAGAGTGGAGGAGGTCAGCAAGTTAGCAGGGGGTGAGGTAGGCTTCCCTGAAGAGATGGGTTTTCAGGGTGCGCCTAAAGGAGAGGAGAGTAGGTGATAATCTGATGGGTTGGGGAAGGGAGTTCCAGAGGATGGGTGACACCCTGGAGAAGTCCTGGAGGCGGGCATGGGAGGAGGAGACCAGGGAACTAGAGAGAAGGAGGTCTTGTGAGGAGCGGAGTGTGCATGCTGGGCGGTACTTGGATATTAGGTCAGTGATGTAGTTCGGGGCAGTACGGTGGACAGCTTTGTACGTCAGTGTTAGGATTTTAAATTTGATCCGTTGCGCAATCGGAAGCCAGTGGAGGGATTGGCAGAGGGGGGTGGCGGAAATGGAGCGGTTGGAAAGGTGAATGAGTCTGGCAGCCGTATTCAGGATCGACTGAAGCGGGGATAGCCAGCGGCGAGGCAGGCCAGTGAGGAGGGAGTTGCAGTAGTCGAGTCGTGATATGATGAGGGAGTGGATGAGCTGTTTAGTGGTTTCTGGGGTTAGGAATGTGCGTATTTTGGCGATGTTGCGGAGGTGGAGTCTGCACGAGTTTGTTAAAGATTGGACTTGGGGCTGGAAGGATAGGTTGGAGTCCAGAATGACACCAAGTACTCTGGCCTGCAGAGCGGGTTTGATATTGGCGTTGTTGGATGTGATGTAGAAGTCAATGGGGGGTGGGGTTCGGCTGGGGGGAAGACAAGGAGCTCGGTTTTGGAGAGATTCAGTTTAAGGAAGTGGAGCGACATCCAATCTGATATGTCGCTCAGTAGGTGTGTGTGATTTGGGCAGAGACCGAGGGGGTGAGGTAGGGGGTTGAGAGATAGATTTGTGTGTCGTCGGCATAGAGGTGGTAGTTGAAGCCGTGAGAGTGTATTAGTTGGCCAAGGGAGGAGGTGTAGATGGAGAAGAGGAAGGGGCCCAAGGACAGAGCCTTGAGGGACCCCAACAGAGAGGGGGAGTAAGGGGGAGGTGGTAGCATTATAGGTAACGCTGAAAGAGCGTTGTGACAGGTAGGATGAGAGCCAGGAGAGAGCAGAATCTCTGAGAGTGTAGTATTTTGAGGAGGAGGGGGTGGTCAACTGTGTCGAAGGCCGCAGAGAGGTCAAGGAGTAGGAGCACTGAATAGTGGCCATTAGCTTTGGCGGTTAGAAGGTCGTTGGAGAGTTTGAGTAAGGCGGTTTCGGTGGAGTGTAGGGGGCGGAAGCCAGACTGTAGGGGATCGAGGGGGTTGTTGTTGTTAAGGTGAGAGCATAGGCGGGTGTAGACGAGGCGCTCGAGGAGTTTAGATGTAAGTGGGAGCAGGGAGATGGGTCTGAGGTTGTTCGGGTCATTGGGGTCCAGGGAGGCCTTTTTAAGTATGGGGGCGATGTGTGCATGCTTCAGTGGGGAGGGGGAAAGTGCCGGAGGAGAGGGAGAGATTAAAGATGTGGGTGAGGGGAGGATGGAGGGGGGGGGGGGAGGTCGTAGGAATTGTGAGGGGATAGGGTCGAGGGGGCAGGTGGTGAGGCGGGCATCAGAGAGGATCTTGGAGACTTCCTCGATGGTAGTAAGGTCAAAGTGTGTGGAGTGTTGGGGGAGCTTCAGTATGAGGAATGTAGGGTGGGGTGGGAGTGGAGGTCAGATCAGTGGTGGGGCCGTGGGAGAGGGGTGATGAGGGGGTAGCTGAGTGAGGGGGAACGGGGTTGGAGGGAGTTTGAGCAGTGACGAAGTCCCTGCGGGTAATGTCGAGGGGGAGGGGGGATGAGGGGGTAGCTGTGTGAGAGGGGACGGGTTGAGAGGGCGTGTGAGTTGCGGCAATGTCCTTGCGAATTTTGTCAATCTTGTTTTTGAAGTGATTGGCAATCTCAAGGGCGGTGAGTGAGGTGCTGGGTGGAGGTGGGGGTGGAGAGAGTAGAGAGTTGAAGGTGGAGAAGAGTCGGCGAGGATTGGAGGAGAGGGCCTTGATGAGGGTCAGGAAGTAGGCTTGTTTGGCTGCGTGGAGGGAGGAGGTGTAGGTGCGGAAGGCAGATTTGTAGCGGGTGAAAGCTTGTTGGGATTTTGTTTTGCGCCATAGTCGCTCCAGGGCACGACTGCGTCGTTTGAGGGTTTTGGTGTGATCAGTCTGCCAGGGCTGGAGCGGTCGGAGTCTGATGTTGCGTGTGGTTAAAGGCGCTAGTGAGTCAAGGGCTGCTGACAGCGCGTTGTTGTAGACAGTCATAGCCAAGTCGGGGGGCAGGACAGGGGGAGGATGCGGTCGTGGAGTTGATCAGCTGCAGAGTGGAGGGGGGCAGGGTTAATGAGAGGAGTGTATTATATAAAGGTACACAGAGTGGGACTCAGGCATGTAAGAGATGTTTCCCAGGGTGTTTGCTTGCAGTCTGTCCAGCATGCAGTAGAGTTTCTTGCTGTTGTTGTGTCTTTCTCCTGCTTTAGTTCAACTGCTGTGTTTAACTGCTTCGCACTCTTTCAAAGCCGCACTCCATCAGAAGCAGTACTTCTCAATGAGTGCAGGAATGCACACAGAGAGAAAGAGAAATGATTGCTTTTACATCCTATATGGGTATAAAAGCAATCATTGTAAAAAAAAAAAAAAAAAATCTTCATCACCCCCCACAAGTAGTACAGTGTCACCATGGTGACACTGTACTGCTAGGGTGACAGTATGTAAAAAAAAATAAATAAATAAAAAATAATAATATAAAAAAATAAAATAAAAATGTAAAAAAGAATGTTTAAAAATTATAATTTTTGGTTATAAACTAATTTGTTTCTTGTTTTTTTTTTTACTAAAAAGATAACGAAATACATTTTGGCAAAGATTTATGATGAAATATTATTTAATTGCAAAAGTTTATAAAAAACACTTTTGTTCAAAATTTTGGGCTTTTTCATTTACATAGCAAAAAAAATAAAAATCCCAGCAGTGAATAAATACCACCAAAATAAAGCTTTATCTGTCGCAAAAAATGGTAAAAAATTAATTTGGGTACAGTGTTGCATGACTGCGCAATTGTCATTCAAAGTGTGATAGCGCTGAAAGCTGAAAATTGCCCTGGTCAGGAAGGGGGTAAAAGTGTCCGGTCTGGAAGTGGTTAAACCTCTTTGCTTTCTCTATTTATACTGTATATAATAACATAATAAAAACACATAACATGCTCTTTTCTACCTCCATTTATATGGATTGATATATCTTTGATGCCTGTTGCACAGACTCGGCTTTACTTATGCTACTTTTCATAATGTTTTTTACATTTTTGTGTATTATTAAACAGATTCTTGTGAATCCAGGCTAGGGCTTGTTTGCACATATAACTTTTTTCAATATAATTTTCACACTGTTGCAGCTGGTTATTGTTTCATTTTTGCATGATTGCAATTAGCCTTGATTACAGATTAGTGTAGATTGGATCCAGTTGTTAATTTGTTTTTTTGTATTTATGCACACTGCAATGCGCTCTTATTTGAAGCAGTAACATAAATAATATTTTGCCTCAACAGTTCATATTGCTGATATAGTGAAAAAAGACAAAAGTCCATCCAGTTCAACCATAAAAAAAAAAAAGGTTTAATCCTACACCCACATCCAGATCCAGAGGAAGGCAAAAGAAACACAGCAAAGCATGATCCAATTTGCTCCTGCAGGGGAAAAAATTCCTTCCTGATCCCCCAAGAGACAATCAGATATTCCCTGGATCAACTTTACCTATAAATAGTAACCAGTTATATTGTGTGTATCCAAGAAAGAATCCAGGCCTTTTTTCAATCAATCCACTGAGCTGGCCAGAACCAACTCTTGAGGGAGTCTATTCCACATTTTCACAGCTCTTACTGTGAAGAAACCTTTTCGTGTCTGGAGATTAACCACTTCAAGTCCAGACGCCTTCACTCCCTTCCTGTCCAGGTCAATTTTCAGCTTTCAGCACTATCACACTTTGAATGACAATTGCACGGTCATGCAAAACTGTACTCATATGAATTTTGTAGCATTTTTTGAGACAGATAAAACTTTATTTTGGTGGTATTCATTCACCACTGGGATTTTTATTATTTTGCATATATAAATGAAAAAGTCCAAACATTTTGAAAAAAAGTGTTTTTCTTATAAAATTTTGCAAATAAATAATCTTTCTTCATAAATATTGGCCAAGATGTATTTTGCTATATTTTTAGTAAAAAAAAAATAACCTAAATTAGTATATAACCAAAAATTATAATTTTTCTAAAACAAATTTGACATTTGTATTGTATTTTTTTATATTATTTATGTTTTTTTTTTATATACTGTCACCCTAGCAGTACAGTGTCACCATAGTGACACTGTACTACTTGGGGGGGGGGGGGGGGGTTTGATGAAGATTTGTTTTTCTCATTTACACTGATTGCTTTAAACCCATGGAGACTGTAAAAGCAATCATGTCTCCTTCTGTCTGGCTGCATTCTTGCAACCATTGAGAAATACTGTGTGAGCTATGATTGGTCACAGCTTGTCACATGGTACAAAGCTGTTGTGAATAGCCTTGTACCATGTGACCAAGGGTGGACTGATAGCTCATGGGGGCCCCCGGGCAATAGGGGATCATGGGGCTCACACTTAAAGCACACCCAAAAAAGCCTATAAAAAGGTACCAGGGGCATTTCATGGGGTCCCCTATGACAGTGCCCGAGTGCTCGAATGGTCAGTCCACCCCTGCATGTGACCTCTGTTATTATTCACAGATTTCACATGTAGTAATCAATGATGCCAGAAGTGACATCTTGCTTACTACTATTCATGTGATCACTGATTGGCCAATCAGTAATCACATGATTGGGACCTCACACAGAGGTCCGTACAGCGATCAGTGTTCTGCTGTGTCCGGAGGATACAGCAGGCACTGGATTGCAGTGCTGCTCGCTACCAGGGAGGGGTCACAGGCAGGGAAGTGGGGAGGACATTTATAAACAGCCACGGGCTCCTGCAATGCTCTCCGGCCATTTATATACATGGGCCAGACGGGAAGTGGCTACATTTATTTTCCTTCAGACGTAAAGAGTGCCCCCTTGTCCTCTGTGATGACCTCAGGGTGAATAACTCTACACCAATTTTACTATATGAACCACTGATGTATTTATACATGTTGATCATATCCCCCCCTTAATCTCCTCTTCTCAGGAGAGAATACATTCAGTTCCTCTAATCTTTCCTCATAGATAAGTTCCTCCATGCCTCTTATCAGTTTTGGTTGCCCTTTTCTGTACTTTCTCCGTTCCCCAATGTTCTTTTTATGACTTGGTGCCCAAACTTTAACTGCATATTTCAGATGAGGTGTTACTAATGATTTGTGATTTGTCATCTCTTTTCTCCCGTTTGTCTGAGGATCGCAGTCATCTAGCGGCCCCCGGGCCCAGTTTCACGCTTTCTCGATGACTTTTCCGCATGGCTACCATACTTTCTCTCCTCTGAGGTGCCTGCCATCATCCTCGGCGACTTTAACATCCAGTCAATGCTCACACCCCTGCCACCTCTCAACTACTCAACCTAACCTTCTCTTTCAACCTAACACAATGGTCACAATCCACCACCCACTGCAATGGCAACACCCTTGACCTTGTATTCACCCACATATGTACTCCCTGTAACCTCTCTAACACCCATTTTCCTCTCTGATCACAACTTTATCAGCTTCACTCTCCCTGCCTCCTACCTCCCATGCCTCCAACCAGCAAACCGTCACCTGTAGAAACCTCCATCACCTCAGCACTGACCTTCTTCACTCCGCTACTGAGCGCCTCTATGATGAAATTGCCCCCCTGTCCTGCCCAGAGCTGGCCACATCTGCCTACAACAGCTATCTATCATCCTCCCTGGACGCTCTTGCTCCTCTTTCTACACACAGAACCAGGCCTCTCCTGTCACAACCCTGGCAAACAGATGACGCCAGAAGTCTCAAGAGATGCAGCCGCACTCTTGAGTGAGCATGGCGTAAATATAAATCCCTGAAAGACTTTACCCTCTACAAATCCGCTCTTCTTAAATATAACTCCAGCCTCCACGCTGCTAAGCAAACCTACTATAACACTCTCATCAAGACCCTTTCATCCAATATTCGTCGACTCTTCTCTACCCTTAATTCCTTACTCCTCCCCCCACTGCCACCACCCACCAACTTACTTACTGCACAGAAGATTGCCAGTCACTTCAAGAAGAAGATTGACACAATTCTTGATGAGATCTCCAGTGTCAAGCTTCCTCCTCTAACCAACGTACCAAGCCCAACACCAAACTCAACACTCTCCTCCTTCGACCTTGTTACCACCAAGGAAGTTACCGAACTCCTTTTCAAGGCCCTCTTCACCACCTGTCCCCTGGATCCTATCCCCTCACGACTGTTGCAGCCTCCTTCCTGCTCTATCCTAAACTCTCTAACCCACATCTTCAACCTCTCACTCTCCATTGGGCACCTTTCCTCCCCCACTCAAACATGCACTGGTTCATTACCTCCTCCCATGCTCGCCTCCAGGACTTCTCCAGAGCCTCTCCAATCATTTGGAACTCCCTACCACAGCAAGTCCGGTCAGCCCCCACCCTGTCTGCCTTTAGGTGATCTTTGAAAACACACTTCTTCAGGGAAGCCTAAACCACCTCCACCTAAGAACTGTACTTGAATCACCTCCACCAGATCATCCCCTGCAGCTATCACCTTTTGTATCATCTCCCCCTTCCTTTAGATTGTAAGCTCCACAAGCAGGGCCCTCACATTCCTTCTGTACTGAAAGTATTGTAATTGTACTGTCTCCTTTATATTGTAAGCGCTGCGCAAACTGTTGGCGCTATGTAAATCCTGTATAATAATAATAATAATTTGTACAGGGGTAAAATTATATTTCTCTCTCTGGAGTCTATACCTCTATTAATACAAGAAAATATTTTGCTCGCTTTAGAAACCGCAGCTTGGCATTGCATGCCATTATTAGGCTTGTGATCTACCATAACTCCCAGATCCTTCTCCACCATTGATTCCCCCAGTTGTACTCCCCTTAGTATGTATTGATGGATGCATATTCTTAACCCCCAAATGCATAACCTTACATTTATCAACATAAACCTCATTTTCCTCATAGTTGCCCAATTAACCACTTCAATACTGGGCACTTTTAGCCCCTTCCTTCCCAGGCCAATTTTCAGCTTTCAGTGCTGTTGCACTTTGAATGACAATTGCGCGGTCATGCAACACTGTACCCATATGAAATTTTTATAATTTTTTTCACACAAATAGAGCTTTCTTTTGGGGGTATTTAAACACCATTGAGTTTTTTTCTTTTTGCTAAAATAAAGCAAAGAAATCCTGAAACTTTTGAAAAAAAACCCCTAATTTTCTTTGCTTCTGTTATAAAATTTTGCAGATAAATAACATTGCTTCATAAATTTAGATCAAAATGTATTCTGCTACATTTCTTTGGTGAAAATACCCCAAATTAGTGTATATTATTTAGTCTGTAGGAAAGTTATAGAGTCCACAAACCAAGGTATATAAATCTGACAATTGATCAATCCTGATGCACTGA